TGATTCCTTAGCAATATAGAGCTTGGCTGTTGTTGCTTTCGGTTTTTCTTTGCTGGTTAGTGCTTTACCATGGAGATGAGATGCTGGGTTTCCAAAGCATCAGCTTCAGTCGCTTCAGCTGATGGAGGCTAGCACCGTATCGGGAGCGCCCTGGGCAGCTGAGCCACTCCTGTTCTATGCAATGGAAGACTCAGGTGCATATATAAAGCAGGCAGTTGATTTTATTGCATTGTATTGACATATAACATGTGGATGTGCAGAAAGTCAACTTCTGGAATCCAGGTCCTCGTGTTAGATAATTATATCCTTTTGGGAACAGTGCCTTGGTTTGGTGCTTGTATTGAGGTGCTGTTGCTCAGCATAAAGGCAACCAAACGCGTAGTTCTTTCATAGATTAGGTAGAGTGTAATTAGTTTTTCAAAGATCGGATTAATAAGTAGATCATGTTGATTTCTAAAAAAGTCATGTAGGCGCATGTTCTGATTCACCTCTGATTTTCATGGTACGAGCTCCAAGAGCTGCAATAATGCTCAGTGCTCCAGTTTCAAGTTGGGGTACACTACCTTGTGTGTGGGGTGCATCAGCATTGTTTTTTTGTTTTTTTTCCTTTTCCCAGCTACATATCGGACATAGAAGAGAAGAAAGTGTCACGTTCTGATGGGAGAAATGTAATTTTCATGTTTTGAGATCCTTGTTTGAGAAACAAGGACTGGACAATGTCATGACAATGATTAAAATTTGCTCCACTTTGGACCAGAGCTTAGGAACATTAGGAGTACTAAAAAGCTGTAAGTGCTAACACCAGCACTGCTACTACATCTTTCGTCTGAGAATGTCTCTATTCTTAATGAATTTTGCTTGTGTGTCTGTGAGGCTGGTATTATTAGTGTCATTTTGCAGACAAGTAGATAAAACAAAATGCTTGTATAAGCACATTCAGCAAGTAGAAAAAGGCAGGAATAAAATTCAGGAATACTAATGTTTCAACCTGTTCTTGGGCTTGTACTTTCTCTTTTGCCAGAAAAGAGACTAAAGGCATTAATTCTGGTAGCTTTTCCCCCCCCCCTTTTTTTTCCGTTGGGTGAGGCAGCATAAAAGTGAGGTGTTATTATGCAACATATCTAAGTGTGCATGTGATACTTGAAAAAATGGTAATCAGGTAAGTTGCTAGGCAACAGGACCCTGCCTTCAATTACCAAAAAGCCAGTGAGTTTGCTTTCATGATGTAACATGTGTTCTGTACTTCTTCATAAGGCAAGTGTAGGTGGAGTTTTGTAAGAGTTGCTCCTTTTTTAACTCACCTCCTGCTTAACTTGCCATATTGCAAGGTCAGACTTGGCCCCAGTTTTAGAGAAAAGTATTCACAGATTTTGAAATCAACAGAAAAAATGTTAGATGAGCTCTTAAAGATAATGAAGCACATGTAAGTGTGTATAAGTAAATGACTATTCCCTCACGTGGGTCTGTGGGTCTTTGATGGTTCAACAGCTTACGGGAAGTAGTGCGTAGCTCATCGTCGGGACCATGAAAAATAAGAAAATGGGTGAGAGATTTCTGTTAAAATGTAGATGGCAAGGATATGTGGCAAGCTGTGAGAAGTCTTAAAACAGTCACAGCGGCCTGTTGGCCCAAAAATGTTGAGAGCCGTGGCAATGCATGAAAACCTGAATGTAAACCCAGCTGATTCATTTTCATTGCCTTAGCAGGAACAGAATGGAAGGAACATAAGCAGGGATGAGTGTACATGGATGAAAAAGTAAATGAGAGTCTAATAATGTAAGACATCTACCAGCACGAGGGAATCTGATTGTGTGTTTGTTTGAAACACGAGTTTAATTTCTTTCTTTTTTTTTTTTTTTAAAAAAGACAGATTGCAGGATAACAACAACAAAAAATAAAGACTCTTGGCAGTTATTCTAAACGCATTTCTGCTTTTGTCAATAAATAGCCACAGAAGCATTTGCAGATACTGTGCTTGTGTGGGGGTGCAGGCATCTGCCCAAGCCTCTTCAGCTCTTGGGTGGTGGCATGGCTTTTAAAAGAAATCTGAAACTCTGGAGGTCTAATGTGCCTCAAGCCTTTGGCGGAAGTTTTCAGCAGAGACAGAAGACCCATCTGGGAAAGGATGCACCTAACCTTGGAAGTCACTTGTTTCCCTTGGATAACTGCAAGTTGTTGCTTTACAGAGTTGTTTTTCCGATTACTTTGTTGTTGTGCTGGTTGTTCCAGAATAGAGGCGTTTCCTTTTCAGGAGGTGGGGACTGTGTAGCAGTTCACACCCTAGGTATCTCTCTGAGGGGTAATTCAGTCCTTTTGGGAAGGAAATTCAGCCTAACCTACCAAGTTTTGTGCCCTGTCTACTGGTCCAGGTTCAGAGATGTTCAGATCCCAGCTCCTCTGTCTGCAGGTTCAAAAGCCCTCACCAAAAGGCATATTGGGACATCAGTTGAAAGTGCAATCTGCATCACCCTCCGTGTAAGTCCTGCCAGGGCAGGGTGAGTTTCCGAGAAGACAGATGCTCACTTTCTGTTTCTAAATTTGGCCCTTTCTTCCCAGGAGAATCCCAGATAAGCCACGGAGCAGTGTGGTGACTTGGTTTCGCTGTTGGTAGGACAGTTTATCATTGGGTAGTTGCATGGACGTGAGCTTTCTTTTGTGGAGCACTTTGGAAATAATGAAGAAGTGTAAATACTGAAATAGGCAGTTGAAGGAACACACAAGTAACCACTTTCCAGTCAGGACTTTGTTTTCCTTTTTGTTTGCTTGTTCTTTGTATTGTCATTTGATGAGCGCTGCTGTTAAATTATGCTAACGTGCAGTTCCCGAACTGCTGACACCAGGACTGTTGATGTCTGTGTCAGAGGAATAGCCAGAGCATGGGCAAGCACTGTTTTGGGAAGCCTGAGTCTGGCCTAGTAGTCAATTTTAGATTTTAACTATTTCTGTATATGCAGTTGAACAGTCACACCACTGTTGTTGGGTTTTTTTGTTTGTTTTTTCCCTGCTACAAACATTACGTGTTTTTGATCATTAGTATTTCAACACAGAAAGTTTATGTATATATGAAAGAAAAAACTAATCTCCTTTTCTGAACAGCTTAAACAATGTATTAATCAAGTGAGCTTTAAGGTCGAAGCTTTATCTTTATCTACCTCTCTGCTTGTCTGTGTTATGACATAGTCTTTGCTACTGAAGAGTTTCTTGAATGATTATTTTCTTTCATGTGTAGATACACATGTAACTAAAGGTATGGTTTCTCCAGCACTTCGAGTTTATAGAAATGAAGTTTTTTGTGAAAAAGGAACTTCTGCTGGGAGGTGGCCTGTGAGCTAGATCTGAGAGGCGGTAACAGCTGAGAACGAACAGGCATTAGGGTACATGGAGGTAGCATTCAGATGGCTGATGAGTTCCTTGGTCTGGCTCCTGGTGAAGCTCTGTGGGTGGCCTGAGTGCCAGTGCCAGAGAAGGGACTGAATTGAGCAGGTCTGCCTCGTCCTAAAGTTAGGCTGGCTTGAAACCTTTTGTAATGTTCATATTTCTGCATTGAAGGCGTTGGAAGTCTGTTGTAGTTGCTTATTTTGTATGATTTTGTTCCTTACTCTCTTACTAATCAAATTCTGGATAAATAGTAAGCATGTAAAAAGCGTTTTCAATGTTCTTGTGATTCTAGGGAAATGCTTTTTAAAATTTTATTTGCTTGTGTCTGATAAGTAGTTCAGCAGAAACCTATATCTAGCTCTGACAAAATGCATATCATGAAAATAGAATATGTGTATATAATTCTTAGGAACACTGACTTTAGAACAATCATGCCAGAGCTAGCTAACAACCAAGTTCTTACCCAATTTGATGTACAAATACCTAGCTGTTAAAACAGCAACTATTTCTCATGATAAAGGAGACCTCAGAGTAGATGCAAGCCTCAGTGCATAGGCAGAAGGTGCTAAATGTGTCTCTATGATATCCATGTTACGTTGATTTAATTAGTAGTTTTATGCTATTCATTGTTCTGTTAATCTTGGTGGGAAGGTTTTGTTGGGGGAGGATTAGTTATTTAATCTGCATTTTTAATTGGAGTGTTTTTGTAATTCAGTGTTCTCTAAATAAAAACTGTAGTGGATTTTTTATTTTTTAAGGAAAAGGTTTCTCTTGAATTCCTGTTGGAGTTTGGTGCTCAGAAACTCTGAGATTCATGAGGATAATGTGAAGGTCCCATTTGTTACACGGTCTGACATGTAAATGTTCTTGCTCTGTAACTTCTTCACATGCAATTAATCCAGAAAAATGCTGTGTGTAGACAAGCCCTCGGAGTGTAAGATCTGTGAGGCTGATGGGAGTACGGTGTTAGATACTTGTGTGTTGGAGCTGGCACCTCGAGGTGTGACTTCAGTGAAAATCTGGAGTGTGGCAATCTAAATGTCAGCGCTCAAAGAGAAGGAGTATAGCCCAGGCTCCTGGCCTGTGCTTGCTCGGGTGACGAGCCCGACGCAAAGGTGAGAGGCAGTCGGGTCACTGGAGCCAGGGGAAGAGGCCGTGCCGGTGCCCCGGGAACAGGCTGGGGCGGCGGGTGGGCAGCAGTGGCCAGGGCCTGCCTGCACCACGGCCACACTCTGTCCCGGAGTGGGGAAGGGAGAAGAAGAGAATCGTGATGACGGGAGAAGTGAGGAGGAGAGGAGATGGGGGAGATAGGGAGGTGAAGCGAGGATAGGGAGGATGGGGATGGAAAGAAGAAGGCTTACTTCAAAAACTGGGGGATCGGCCAGGAAAATAGAGATAAAGCAGTTTCTGGTAAACCCTGCAGGGGTTAACTGAGACCTTGCCTGAGAAAACGGCTCAGCCCGATGGGAGGAGCGGCAGCTGCCAGGGAGCCGCCCTGGGCGAGGGGCAGGCACCCGCCGGGGCTCTGGAGAAGCCGGGTCACCCAGGGCCCGGTGTACCGGAGCTAAGCTATCCATACACATTGAGCTTCATTAAGATTAAACTGTACTTCTTTGGTTTAGGAAGGCTGGCTGGTTGGTGTGTTAGCTGCTGGCCACACGCACTTGGTCCGAAAACGGCTGGCATCTAAAACGGCTCAGACCTGCTGGAGGCAACCCAGTGGACCCGCAGATGCTGTGAACCAGGAGCTGACCAAGAAGTGGGAGAGCTCCAGGATTCCTGCCCAGAAAAGGTAAGGGCTGGGGGATAAAACCAGTGGGAGTGCACTCGTAGACTGGAAAACCAGAGCAGTTGTCTGAGTACGGAGGTGACTGCATTGTAGATGGGACCTTTGAAATTTAAATATGTAAAGTGCATAAAGGGTGGTCAAGATGTGAAGCTATTTCCATTGGTTCGAACTGCAAGTTGCTTTCTGGAAGTGTAAGATTGCCCTGCGCATGCATCGCCCTTGATTTCTGTCTGCTTTGAGTTACATCATTCTGATTGCTGGTAATTTCTGTTGCCAAACTTATTCCAGTGTTATTGTCTCTTTAAAACCTCACACTCGGATAGTCTTAGGCAGCTAAAACAACCAGGACAGTGGAGCAGGATCTCTAAGGTAAACCAGAGCAGTAGGTAAAGAGCGGAGGGTTGCTGTCTTTGGTGGTAAAAGCACAGGTGCGAGTTGGATGATGAGGAATCTATTCCTGGCCCTAGAAAGCAGTGCAGTCTCTGCACCTGATGCACCAGTGTGTTACTCTACTAATTTTTTTAGGCTTATCTTGCCACTCTCCTGTATCTATGGCAGTCTGTTGCACTTGCACAGAGTGGATGTACAATGCTGTCAGATTGGAAGGGTGATTTATATCCCGGAATGAAACTTTATATTGATCCTGGTAGATGAGCTGCACATTGTGGGATCAGAACAACAATCTCCAGACCCTGCAACATTTTCAGAGCGCTCTGTGTGTCTGCAGTGTGTGGTGTGGTGCACTAACAGGAGGTTGATACAGCTTGCAGTATTTTTTTCAGTACTGTGGATAAGGTTTCATGGGTAGGTCATGCATAGTACTTTAACTGGAAGCTCGCTTTCAATATGTAGGTGCTATATAAATAAAATTCAGATGCATGTAGCACCTTCCTCCCTCACCCTATCCCGTCTCAGGTCTCTACCTTCTTTTAGTGGTAGTGCCCAAGAGGTCCTATGCTAGGGTATTCTGTTGTCCGACTGTAGTAGGTGTTCCTGCTCTGGTAGACCCCTGTCCCTCTCTGAGACAGGGGAGCAGACCCAGTCAGCTACTGAAGAAAAGCAGTAGGTTTAATTGTGGTAATGCTAATGGTGTGGATAAGCAGGGTCAGCTGCTGCCTTGAGCTCCTGCTGTAATCTTGCTGCCCATTGTGTAGCTGAATACAGGGCTTCAGTTGGTCCAAAAGTGTCATCTGCTGAGCAGTAAAGCCCAGACCAGTGCTACAAGGTTATGACAAAGCAAGTGTCAGCAGCTTCGCGGGAATGCTGCTGGTGATGGACCGAGCCTTGGAATGAGTCCAGCTGTTTTGTCAATGATGCAGCCATGAGTACTTCTGAAGAAAGCTGTGTCTGCCAAGTGCTCTGGTGTATGGTACTGTTGCTGTGAGTAGAGCAAATGCTGCCTATCGCCTGCCCTCAAGAACCACCAAAGGAAGTACAGACGTTTCCTATTACTGTTAAAACAAAAACTGAGTGCCGTATGGGCACAAGAAAACATAGATCCATTGGCAGCAGAACAAGACTATGAATTATTCATTCCTCCAATGCCTCCTGTATGTTCCATCCACTCAGGCTGCTCAGGATGCTGTCTGCTGGAGATGCAGACAGATCCGCTTCCAAAGCCATGGGGACATGACCCTGCAGACTGTGACCACCACTGCGCTCAGCTTGTCTTCCGTGAAACTGGCTTGTGCATTGTTGTGACACCCTTGAGGACACAGAAATAACCTGTGATCATCCTGTGGGCTGTTGGTAGGAACTCTTGTAACACCAACAAAACCGGGATGTGTCTGGTAATGCCAGCCTAGAATTGGCTGTGAGGTGAGGGCAATGGGTTAGGACCAAGATGGAAGCACTGACTGCTCTGGCCCATTTTGCAAAAGGGAGGTTGGGGGGCTGCATCATTTGTGTAGTATGGCTTTGGGTTCTTGCAAGAGGACTTATACTATGCCAGTTTGTTCCTAGCTCTGTCTTGCTGAGAAGCCAAAGTGTCATCTGCTAAAAGTTCTCTGAGCACAGGCAGGATTTTTCTCTCCAGGTAGAGTGCTTTAGTGGAGAGGAGTGCATTTAAATGGCTGCTTGGGAACATCTGTGAAATGCATAGTTTTTCTCAACTTGTTTACTACTGGGCATTTGTCTATGTAATGGTTGTCAACTGGCAGCTGAAGTTGAGAGGCCCTGAGGACTTACGGAGCTGAAGAGACTGAATTCTCCTCTGAAACTCCCATGAACTGCTCTGAGCTCAGGTAAGAGGTGCCCAGTGTGAGAGAAGGTGTTGCTGAAGGTTTGTTCAGAGGCTGTTCCGCAGCATAAAATGCACGTATTTAGATGCTCTCTTCGCTTTTTCCTTCCTGCTGGTTGGTGTGAAGATTCCTTCAGCCATTTCACATACCCAGGCTGCACCATGCATGCCATATTGCAGACTTTGGAGCATTTTCCCCAATTTTCCTTCTGCATCTTCTAGAGTTGCTCTTGGCTATTAGGCTTTTGCTGAGAGATATTAATACTTTTAGTGCCTGTAACTAGCAACTGCTGCAGAAATGATGAGATTCTTAATGTGAAAATTTAACCCTTGCATTTACAGCTGTCTTGTAATGTGCCCTACCCCATTCTGAGACCACTTCAAATGTATTTACAGAGTTTTGAGGAATGGAAGTGAATGATATTTCAGTCAAGACAAGACACTATAACTTGTGTCCAGAATGGTTTTCAGCTTCTTGTTATGCCAGCTAGCTGGATTTGCCCTAGAGTGAGTCACCTTTGGAGTTGCTCTAGTCCAGAAGCTGAGAACAGCTATGGAGGCTAAGATAAAATCCCAGACTGCATTTGAAGAGTCCTCACTGAAAGGAGTGGTGGAAGATTGTCCAGCTGGTTTGAGAGGTGTGGTAGGTTTCATGAAGAGGGCTCTCGACGAAGAAGGGGTTGGTCCTGAGGCAGGTAGAACATGTTTGTCCCCCTGTGGTCTTGACAGAAGTGAGAAGGTGATAAACTGGAAGAATACTTTAATCAGTGAAAGAAGTAGATACACAGAGCAGGCAGTGGATTTGTGGTTTCCATAGTGATGTAGCTGTGGAAGCTTTTGTATGGCTGAGCTTCGCCCTCACTGCAAGCACACTTGAAGGCTATATGAGTATTCAGCTTTCCTGCCAGGGAAATGTAAATATACATCAAACAGAAATGGCTGAAAAGACAGCTGCATGTTCATGATTTGGTATGTTTGCTATGTTACCTGGATATTTGGATCTTGGGAAGCTGAGGTCTATCGTGGCTTATTTCTCTTTGTTTGTTGTCAAACTTGTAATACCACAGTTCTTGCTGCACCAGGCAGTGGTATGTTGATCTGTATCCTTTGCTTTCTCTCATCCGTACATACACACACATCCCACAACACTGATGCCTGTGACTCTGCTCACCCACACTGAATTCAAACATGCACTGATCAAGTAACGTATGCCTAACTCTTTCGGGACATGCTAACTGATCAGAGCACCACTCTGTGAAACTTGGAGAGGTGCGCTTCATGTTTTTTGTAGCCATGACCTCGCTTGTTCCTGCGGGCCACAGAAATGGGCTGCATGTGACATTAAATTGTGGTTTCTTTTAACAGGCATTTTGAGAGTGTTTTAATAGCCAAAACATATGACCTTCGGGGAATTTTTGCATGTGGAGAGAGCTGCTTGTGACTGTGAATGGTTAAATTTGAGAGCCTTGAAATCTGGCTTTCCAAATAAGTCGGAACGCGGAATTTTTCAGTATATCAGCTGATGGATTATCAATGGGTCATAGAGGCAGAGGACGGAAAACGCTCAGTGTGAATGCTGGATGCACACATCAGACAGTTAGGCACGTACTAGTCCTCCACACCCACCTGCATAGTCCAGTCTGTGTGAGCCATGGGCATTTGTGCCTTGTCTTCTTCCTTTTCTCTTGAACTGCTGCTGGATGCTTCTCTTGCTGTCTCCCTGAACAAATCTCCCTTACCCTCGGCATTTGTTTTGCTTGTCTGATGGATGTAATGGGTCATCTGTTCCCTTTACAGAAAGGAATGTTAATTATTTTCAGCAGGCTAATTAGGTTGCTAATGAGAAGCTCTACTGCAGTAATATTTCCTTTAATTACTCACTCTTAAGTGCTGCACAGAGAAGCTTATTGAGTATGCTGTTAAATACAAATGCTTGTATCTGGCTGAGAGATGCACCTTCAGGCTCCGTGTAAGAAATGCTGTGGTAAACTTGGGAATCCATGTGGCACAGATGACTGAGCAAATGAGGCTGGTGCTGAGAGCCGCGTAGTTGTGTAGCCTTTTTAACTCCTTGCGAATTCAGTGCTTCTGCAGGTGACTGGCCATGGTCGCTCTGTGTATTCCCGTTTTTGCTTGATGGCTTTTGGCAGCATCAGTAACCGATTGTGCTACCTGACAAACTAATCTGTAGTTACATGCAGCCCTAACACCAAATAGTTCAGTCTAGTTAGCCAGATGGCAGCCAGAGGCACAGAGGTGGAGTGACTCATCCAAGGTCATGTTGCAGATCATGGCAAACCTGGTAATAAAGTAGAGGTTTCGTCAGTCCTGTGTTAGTGTGCTGCACTATTTGGCCCCTTGTGCCTCTCCTAGGGCCAGCATAGTTCACCACAAGACTTGCATCAGTTTGCGTATTGCTGCATGAGGCAGCACAGCCGCTCAACAACCCCATTCACGTATCCACCTTGGTACTGACTTAGGAAGGTCCTTTTGCTTCTCCATCTGAGTCCTGACTGCTACTGGCTTCTCTCCTTTTTTTACCCTTTGTTGTAGAAATCTCAATGCCTTTAGAATTGCTCTGAGAGAGCTACTGTATTCCAGATTATATTTTAGTTTTAGAACTCCCAGGATGAGAGGTGTTGGAGTGGATGTCCAGCATCTCCTGATTCTTAAGTGCTAAGCCTTCATGCAGCTCTGCAAAGAGCCTCACTTTTTGGTAGTATCCTCTGATGTCCAGACCAATTCCCAAGTCTGCTCTTAGCCA